AGTCCGGCCGGAAGCACAATGAGCCGATTGCCTGGTAAGGGCCCCCGTAGAGGCCGGTTCTGCCTGCACCAAAGACGACGACGATGAGTGCATTCTTGGCGCTCTGGATGTCAGCGACATGGCAGCACTCTAACAAGACGACCTTGAACTGCGAACACTTATTGTGCATCCAGACGGACAAGGAAGTCCGGTTGCCCGTGCTTTCATACGAATCCTGCCTATCTTCTCCATTCGACAGGGGGCGCTGTACAAGAAGACCTTAGACGACGGCAACATAGCGTGGTTGTTCGGTATCCACTCCAGCCGTTGAGAAGAACTGAAGGACTTAAAAGCGCGAACAACACGGACTACGAATACACGTACACAACACGAACTTGTGCTAACTTTCAACCGCTTTATTTGAGACAGTCAACCGAGTACACACGATCGAACAATCTTGTCTATCTTCTCAACTCACTGGGATAAAAGCCTCATATAAGCACAAACAGAAGGCAATTTTTCAAGCAGACGTTATCAATTCAGCGTGTCTACACAAAACTACCAAGACAAAAAAACTCCCTTTTCATTTTGTAAAATCGAAGGCGTGCTGACGCAGTTGTCACCCGAGGACTTCATAAAATACGCTTGAACTATTTTCCTTTCAGTCTAGTTATCTGATCCTTAAATACATTTGAGTAGTTCTAAAACGGGATCACACCCGCACCGCACTGTACTACAATATGTCCCTCAATTTGTTACGAATCGCTAGACGAACCGCTAGCATCTATGGAAAAGCGCATTTTGAAAGACCTCAATGAGATGCATGTGTTTAAGATTTTTAGAAATGTAGACAATTGTTTGGTTACTGTGAATGATCTCCCGGAGATATACGTTTTAATGACCTTCTTTGAAACGTCGTCAAATTTTTTGACGCCATGTCGGACGGATTACAGTTTATTCGGGAGCTTGCCAGGGACAAGTGCATTAAGTGTTTAGACCTACAGCTTACTTTTATAGGTGAACACGTGTGCTAGTTGTACGAACCGCGTTCAAGAGGAACCTCTTGTCTTTTGATAGCGCTCATTCTAAGCTAATACACCGCGATATTGCTCTCACCTGTCTTCAAGCTGGTCTTAAAGGGGCACTGAAAGGATATTTATGCTCGCCGATGTTTTTAGTAGTATATAACATATGAGAGCCCAACTACCCAGAACAGAATTTACGACTCGATATTCGGTTTCTTTCCGCCCGAAAACCGCCGATTGAGAACTGGCAGATTTGAGTCGCGGTCACTTTCTTCTCCGTGGTGATGGTCCGTTTTCTGAGGTTTAGACACAGCCACCAAATTTAATCAAGGTCGTGGGTCATTGAGGGCACACACCCAACATTCAAATTATAAAAAAGATATAAAACACAATTTTGTGCCTTCCAAAAAACTGCAAATGTGTTGATTGAAAAACAAATTGCACCAAGAACCGAAAAAAAATGTTGTGCGTTCACTGCGTAATCCTTGACATGGCGTCGTATGGCGTATCGTGGGACTCGCGGAATCGAGAGCGTTGGCAGCGGAGGATAGGGCGTGCGACCCCTACTTCAGAACTGTCGCTCGCGGTACCGGTAAAGTTGACTTGATTCGAAAGACAAAATTTCTGAAAGATCAAAACAATTCGTGATCATTTCGTACGACACGCCCGACCACCAAGCCGATTTGCTCAAAGACATGACTCGGGCAGTTGTCCCCTATTGGGGCTCGCAGGAAGCGATTTGTCAGAACGATTATTTAAAGCTGTAGAGTAGTTCAGTGGTAATAAAGAAAAGAATAAAGTAGAGTAGCTCAGTGGGAGTGGTGTCCTCTTCACACTCAGCGGACACAGGTTCGATTCCAAAATAGGCACACTCTTTTTTTACGTTTTGCGATCTTTACATTTCTCTTTTACAATTATCACTGAAAAAAAAAATGCCGTTGAGGAAACGTCCCTAAACTAAATGCTACGGGACTCCCTTTTTGACACCAACCAATTCAATGTTGTCACTTTCTGCAAGCTGCAAGGAGCATATAAATCGGGTAGCGTTCGCTTTCCGAGGTGCTCGGAACTGTTCTGCAAGAATTGCTGCCAGATATTTTTGTCAATATCCCGTTGATCTTTCGGAAACTTGCGCAGACTCTGCCGCACAATGCCACTTTCGGATGCACAACTTGTGAGACAGCTCTTTACGCAACATCTTGGGAACATCCTTTTTGGAGCCGATCACTGGCATTCGCCACGGACACTCACTACTTAATTCCAACTCTTCATTGCACAAAATATCTCACCTTGAAGTGCAGAACAGCGAGTCGAACTTACAACTGCAAAGCAGAGTTACAATAAACAATGCCCGCAACGCGGTGATGTCGTCAGCTGCGCGCGGCCAAAAAAAAAAAAAAAAGAAATGCGCGGTTTGGTGTACTTGCGTTACTTCCGGCACTCTCTTCTTTATATTTCTCCGACCTCCATGCGCGGGTTCCGGTTTCGGTGTCGAGCAGTTGCGTTTCTTGGCTTTATTAAAACTATGCGTGACTCTGAAACAAAATATTAATTGGGTAGTGTTCTGACCCCATATTAAACCGCTTAGCGAAAAAACAAATTTGGGGGGTGTTAGTGTCCCTCTAAGAAAATCTGCCATCATCCTTTAAATGCTTGCTTTAAATTCAGGTAGAATGCTTAGACAGAAAGACGATTAACAGTTGAGCGTGTTGGTACATGCTTGTACTTATATCAACTCGCACTTTGGAATAATACTTGAACACGAAGAAAGAAAGGACAGGAGAGGACAAACAGCTGACTACCAACGATGTTTAGTGTAAACGTCTTCCTTGCGCGTTTGCTTCTTCATTCAGTGGTCAACGTATAGCACGATCAACTTATTACGTAACTAAACCTATCGCACTAATAAATATTACTACTGGTTCATTCCTACAATTCACATAAACTTTGTCTTCTTTTTTCCCTAATGGGCGTGTCAATTAGGCGAGCCTGCCAGGACGTTAGCCCACTTATTGAATCACGCTTGTTTAGGGGAGCAGCGAAACAGTGTTATGGCTATTTCCGGGATTGTAGAAACCTAGAAGCGGATGGCGGCCGTAAGAGGGCTAGGGCACGTTGGGGAAGAAGAGCTCAGGAACTGGGTCGAGCGAGAAAAGAATAGACCTGTTGCAAAACGTACAGCGGCACGACGGCAGGAAATCACGGGAACCCTCGGTACAGATCACGCGCTTTCACGTTGCGCCTCCGCGACTGCGCGCGCTGAGGCGCGCGCAGTCGCGGAGTCTGGTCCAACATCTGATAATGTTGGACCGGACTTCATGAGTTGCGTTAAAATCTGAAGAGAAGTTTTTTTGTTTTTTTTTTACGACGCGGAACGTGAGAACAGGTTAAGTAATTTGGCCATTGAACGTACATTTCGTATAGTGTCAGGATATATTTTTCTAGCTACAAGAAAAGAAGTCGGATCTCGTTTTGTATTTTTGTAAATGGTGTTTTTAGAAAATTTAGTAATTAAATGTGAGCTTTTAGTTGAACGGGCAAGGTTTGAAATAAGTGAAAATTGTCTGGGGAAATGAAAACTTATTTTGTTTATTATTGAAATGTGGAGTTGTTGGAAAACTATTTGTTTTGATACCAATCCATACTTGTCAAACGTGTGCGTGGGTGCTAGAAGAAAGTGATTGTAAGTGCGCGCGTAAGGCGGCCATGACCATGTATCAACGGCGTCGTCATGTGCAGAAATCTTCATGAAATGTAGCTTTTAAAAGTAGGGGGAAATGTCAAGATCCTCCTTCAAATGATTCCGCCGCGGCCGCGATTGAAAACGAAAAAGATTGCGAAGAGGGCTGAATGGGGAGCATGCGACAGAACGGGCAATTCGAAGCTCAGCACGGACCGCGCCGATCGGCCTGTATATCGCTCAACTGCTGCCGCTGTCAGCGAAGCACTGAGTCCCGCGGTCCGGTCGACGGAACCTTTGCCGGACTCCAACAGGTGGGGCTGCCATGCGCAGCTCCTTGCGAGGTTTGCGCTACGACCACTAACCACCGAGGCGAAGGCAACCACCTCCACGAGGACGTGCCACGGAGGACTCGTGAGCCGAGCTTCACCTCAGGTTCCTATGTCCTTACCGAGCATTAATTAGCGCTGAGACGCATACAGGCATTTCCTTGTCGTACTTTCTCTCGGGATAATTGTCTCTTTCTTTTCCGACGGTTAACATTTATCTTTTTTATGATACCAACACTTCTGCTAATCCCACAATTCACATGGTCTTCTTCTTCCTCTTCCCCAAACGGACGTGACAGTCGTAGTTAAAGACTGAGCAAGGGTGAACGAACTGGGGTATACTTTAGTATGCGTCTAACAAGCGCGAGTTCCGGATGATCAAATTTAAAAAGAACACGTACGGACCTCAGACTTACGCCCGGCACGAACACCTGAACAGCAGATTTGAAGCATATACCATCGAGTGCCACTAAATAAGAACAGCAGATTTGAACAATACACTATCGAGTGCCACTAAATAAGCTACGCTCCAGGGTAACGACACTTCGCCATATTGTGGCTTAAAATTATGGTTGCCAGTTATCTCAAACTTTACCTGAAATCACAGGAAACGCTTTTCCGTTTTTTGCAAATGTTTAAACGGTTCGCGACAAAGCAAAGCAATATTACATGAGCTTCCTAACACCGAATCTAATGCTGACGAAGTCGCACTTTTAAATCATGGTGATCAGCAGTTGTGTCTGGTTTAAACAAGCACCAAAATGGCGGCGCCCACAACAATGTCGCGGAGCGGAGTGCCGATAGACTAAGCGCAGCTCAATTGGTGGCTCTAATCATTCATTCATGGCATAGTCGTGCTAATCCTTGTCGTTTGCAGAGTGTCTGGCAGTAAACGATCAGTCATAAAAGTGCTGTGCTGAGTAAAAATTGATACCAGACTACAAATATAATTAAATGTTTATGTGCGCCTGTTTATTTTTCTCGCAGATCTACGCTGTATAATTACCTATACTGGACACAAATTCGGACACATGGATCTGTGTCGTCCAAGAAGTTTGGTCAGTTAGTATCTGAATTTGACGAAGAGGCATTTGGAGTAGAAACAGTCACACCGCGTTGGAAGACGTGCCTCTCGGAAATATCAGGCGTATTGAAACATGCCCTAATTCGTCTTTATGTGGATAAACATTTTGAGCCCAACGCTATACACACTGTAAGCCAACTTTTCAAAATTCCTCCCAATGCCTTCCGTGAACGATGCGCTTGACATGTGACAATTGTTTTTATTTCAAGTAAAACTATCTTGTATTGTAAAGCTGAAAATGTATTAACTATATGAAGTCTAAGTCACGACACATTTTTTAACGTGTGCCCCATACATCAGTCAAAATATTTGTTAACGTATATTCTTACTTGCCGTAATAAATAAAATATGTCTGCATATAATGCGGCAAACTTGGATTTCAATTTATTATTAGTAAAAAAAACATAGGTGAAATCTCCTTTAGAATTAATTGTTTTGATAAAATCCTACACGTTAGTAAAAATCTGGCAGTGCTATATGACGAATTGCTACAAAGAAACAACCTCCTCGTAACGGAGAATGTTGCCCAAACGTCACTGGGTTGTGGCTAATGTGGCGCAACGTTAACTCACATAAAAGAATGTAACTGCCACGTTAGAAAGGTAACATTATCGGAACGTAATCTAAAACATCAGCATAATTTAAAAAAAAACACTTAAATTTAACGTTTCTCAACCTTCTCAACCAACAACGTTATGAGAACGTTGCCAAAAATGTGATGGAAATAAAAATTAGAAACTGCGAGTATACGTTTTACGGGAATAGGTACAATAATACATGTATGATAATACTAATAAAACGTAACTAAACTATCTCACAGTCAGTATTATAGAGTCTTGGTGGCAAGTAAATTAAAGTTAATGAGCAACAGAACAGCACACTTGTTGTGCGAGTTTCCATGTTCAACTGTTCATGTGTTGCTTTTTATCTCTCGATGTATACTGTCCCCAAGACTGATGCACAAAATGTCTACAGCTTTTCTGGTCAATCATCGAATCGCGGTTAAAATGTGCGTTGATCCGAATGCAGTCAAGCTTTTATTTTAAACTAAACCTGGAATGATAATTACCATCTTTTAACACATGCCTTGCTTTCCCAGCATATATTAACTCCGAGTTATGCTTAGAGCGGTACAGGGACAAAACTCCCAAGGAATTTCATTCAGTTTCGACTGTGCCTTGTTCCGTTCAACTTCTCTCGTGCTTGCCTTTTTCTAAATATTTCCTACGCATAAAACGGAATCGGCAGAGACACTTAAAACTGCTTACGGATGCACTGGGCACACCTTTAGTCAGCAGGAACCGTGGAACCGCCCTGGTGTATGGGAAGCTTGTTCGTCTCCCACTCCGGAGGCCCGGGTTCAATTCCCACCCAGACAGAAATGTACGGAATTTTATTTTCAAAGCCATTAATTTATTCTATCTAAAGAAATCTCCATGAGGAAGTTTTTGCAGCCAGTTGGAATATAGGTGCCGTTTCTCTGCTACAGACAACGAATCTTCTGATAAAGGCGCACTCTCGGTCCTGGCTCTCTTTCGAGAGGAAACCCATTCTTCGTCATAGTCACTTGTCGTGGTATCTTCACTTGTTTGTAAAATGCAAGCAATCCTATAAGTTGAGGTCGGTTACCGCAAAATGTAAGAAGTTCTGGAATTATCTTTTTTTAAATCCAACTTTTCAACCATAAAGCAAAAAAAGGCAACAAAATATGTCTCTGTATTTCTCCAACGCAAAATACTTTGTGACAATCGAGGTCAGTATTGCGCATGACTAGCGAACCTAATTCGAGCTCGTAGTTTGAACAAATTAAAAGTTTTCACTCGGGGCATGGCAACAGGTATGCCCATGTGTTTAGGGACTATGCACATCTAGTTTTAAAAGGACTAAACGAGCTATTGCCAGAGTACAAGAAACTACACACTCCGGATATTTTGGCCAAGGCAAAACACGACGTGCGTTATTTGTTTTTTGTTTTTATTTTTTTTTAAACTTAAAGCGTTTGCTTGTGTCAGAGTAATAAATCAAACAAAATTACATATTATAGCGCACTGTATTTTCTGTTTAAGAGTGGGAGCTCGCCGGCATACAGTATTTCAAATGGTGTACATGGTGTGTGCCTTTAAATGCAGATTGGGAAACTAAGGGTTAATACCTCACGATTCGGCACTCTGGTCGAGTCTTGGTACATTTTTTTTATATTGTGGGAAAAAACAGTGTCGTGCTTGTTACAGAAAATAAGTAACGAATTAGCGCTTTCCGTTAGATTGTCAAAAATTAAGGCGTTACTGAGATATGTTCTCGTCTTCGAAATGTGTCACCTCCAACTCTATCGAACGTGCACTTTTGACTGTCTTCTAATTTCAGTACCATTCGGCGGCGGTAAGCCACGGATGCGAACTTCGACAATTAAAGAGTTAGAGAGTAATTTCATAGCGCTTATTTTATTTTTGTATCAGATTTGTAGCATATATATTCTTTAATTCTGAATAGATTGTGTCTTTTTGATTAATCTCTGTGAAGGATTTTGAAATAATGCCACAGAAAAAAACAAAAAGTATTTACCATTATAACTTAAAATACAGAACGCGAATAAATTTCTTTTTTTGTTGAAAGAATATAAAATTACAGGAGGACACTTAAGACCTCTTACATGTAGGAATGCGAAAGCCTACGTATGCGTAGCTGCGTGCCCTGGTATCCTCCGCAGAGGCCGGCCGAGCAGCCTCTGCGGAGGCCGGCCGGCCGGGCTCTACAGAGTGGCGCCGCAACGCGCGGGCCGCATCCAATCTGGTGGGGCCAATCCGTTACAGCCATTCAGGCGCGTGGGAGCCATTTCAATAGCCTTTCCGCGGCGAGAATTTCTTTGCCATTTTTTTCGCGGTTCTTACGCACAGGGAATTTTTAGGCCGTTTCTCGAATTTACGGAAAACGCCCGCTCCGCTTCATAAGACAGTTGATGCTTTCGCATTTAAATCTTATTTAAATGCACTGAGTAACATAGTTTGTTACATGATAGCGTAAAGTACTAACAAAAATACTTTACTCGGCAGTCTTTTCTATATCTAAGAAGTAAATTAGCATGTAACTGAAAAAGTAGCACGTTATTATTAACGAGGCACTGTTGTTAACGCATTATTTTTGTAACGCTCCATTTACAGGAATTACAAAAACATCGCTCAATGGTTCAAACGATAACTTAATATGAGCACATGCCACCTATGTTCATCCCCCAGCATAGAAAATTGTTCGACGATTCGTCAATACAACTTGTATTCTCGCAATGTACCTGGAAAAAAGAGCATGTTTAAAAATCTGCAAGTGCGTGCTTCGGCACATTGGTAGTTTAGCACCGAGTTGCAGTAAACAAAACCTCGTCTCAATTGTGAGCTAAAAACCTATGCTTCAGGTAACGCTCATCACGATATTAGGCACTGGGTAAAATCGGCCATCTGCAATAAAACCTTATGTCGAAGACTTTAATTCACGCTCCGCCCATCAAAAAGTACGGCGAAAGCGCCCAAGTGCGCGCCTGATTTCGCCACCCCGCCCATTCCTCCCGCACGATCAATTCCGTCTGTCATAGCACCTTCACCATGGCAACGAATCGTCTTCTTTAGGAAAGAACGCGCGAACGCGGAGTGTGAAGCCAGTCACGGCAGGTGCCAATTTCCGAATATCGTTTGCTATGCTGCGTTCAACTTCAAGCCGAGACTGTAGTCACTGCCACGAGCGCGGGATTACGAGGTCGCCGCTTTCAAACTATCTCCCGCAGTCCAAGCACTCGCGTGTGAAATGCACTTCCCAAAGCCAGGAGCGTGGGCTAGATAGCGCTTGTAGCTTTAGCTGCCGTCTCATCTTAATGGTGAACGGGTGTAACACGCGACAACGCAAGCCAATATTCGACGATCTATTGTGGAGGATGACGCCGACGGCAGGTCGCGTGGCGAACTCTTGGCAGTTCCAACGAGAGTTGGTGCATGCTCGGGCCTTTGGTTGTATTAATGTTTCCCCAGGCGAAACGAGGGGTGAACGCGGCCAGCGCGATCTGCTCGGGAGCCTGGCTTGGAGTTTAAGCTTGCGTTGCTGCGTTGATGGAATTCGCAAGATGGCACGGGTGTAGCAGGCTTCAGACGCTGAGTTCGAGTGCACATCTAAAGAAATTCGGTGACTATAGCCACTGATCTCTACTACGATTTGCAGGGTCGCTGATCGCTCCTCCGCAAATGCGGCCACCGGTCTTCCACCTTCAGTCGCTCTATCTCGGTCAATCATAGACAGTCACTATGGTCACGATCCGTGGGTCATGTGAAAACAGACGCAAAGGTCACAAGACCAGAGCCTTGACAACACGAAGAGCAGCATATCGTTAACGTTTTTGTTACTTATCGTAGTGTTTATTTTGTATCGTCCTCGCTTGGTAACGGTCGGGTGCAAAAGAGCTAGTGGACATCGATTCTTTTTTCAGTGGCCGAGACTACGGTACAAAAAGCGAAACTTTTAGTCGAAAGAAAAGGCACAAAAAGAGGAAAGTTTCAAACTCAACTACTTTCTTTGCTTCCACAAATCCTCGTACATCATAAATTTTAGGCCGACTACACCCATTGCTGAACTTCCACAATGAGACCTACAGTTACAACAAAAGAACAGGTTACCAAACAACAAACACACCCCTGTATCCCGAACATGGTAAATGAAAATATACACAAAAAGTAACCTCTATTTATTCTCCCCTAGTCCCCCGCCTTTAGTCTGAGAAACAAATCCAACCTTTACGAAGAAGGACTTGTAGCTTTCAAGACTGACCTTCCATAGACCCTACCCTGTTCTTCACTAGCTCGTCTTACGAGAGCAACATCGACAAGCAACTGTTGTTAAGTTCGAACGGGGATTTTCTTAGATTGAAACGCGTGAGATGTGAAACGCTCGTGCAACGGGGGGAGGGGGGGGGGGGGTGACAGTACATTCAGTTCGTCTGAATCCCCCACCTCAAACATGTATATGGTTGCAGGCTGAGATTGGTAAAGGTCAATATATCAGCAAATGAAACCCTGCTTCCGCGTGTGTTTTTTCGCCTGGTGACCTTCCATCACGTAACTCAAATTTGTATGCTCCCATTTGATGGGATAGATAAAAAAAGCTTTACTCAATTTAATTAAATAGGGTAGTCATAAATATACAAATGTAACGTATATGTAACGATATGTTTAATTTTTGAAGTGTAATGGGAGCGAGTTTTTTTTTTCACATATAGAACTTGTAACGTAAACGAGTTCCAAAAATCAGAAGGAGTGAGGAACGACCTTTCGTTCCTTTTTTGAGGAACGCGTGCAACACTGCATAGAGATCAATGACCATAGCAGACGGGCTTTGTTCTCTGGAAGGCTACGACATTGCAGCGAGATCAGGTGCGGACTTGGGTTCCTTCGCCGTGCTTTTCAAAGGGCGGAACGTGAACAAAGGTAATTCGAAATAAGGACTTATTGCAGATGGGTGATTTTCTCCGGCGCATAATATTTTGACGAGCCTTAGACAAAACACATGTTTTTTTAGCCATTTTTCTTTTTGTTTTATGAGCATGTGATAAGGTATTAAATTGCTTATGTTTCAACCCCTAAGAGTCGAATGAAATTGTCTTCACAACCTCGAGCGGTCAAGCTCGCTTCAGTTGTAAAAGGTTTCTTGTTGATGAAAGCTGTTTGCTGAGCCACCTAGATATTTTTGGTCTCGCTTTTCAAAGCGCAGTAGCTTATTGACTTTCTTGGTTCTAGCGAAGAATCCCTACTATTGCATCAGCCTCGAAGAGTCGTAACCTTTAACACGTCTATTCGCAGTTCGTATAATGAGTGCTCGATGTTTCTGAAGTGCACTGGTAACGGAGGCTGGTAAAGCTACATGAGGCATCCTTTTACACCGGTCTCCGTCAATCATTGTGTAAATTCAACTATGTTCATTAGAAAATACTTACTTTTATATTGTTATATTCTCCGGTACTAAATCTTATATGAACCTTGCTGTTCCTCGTGAGAAACGCTTGAGCAGTGCATAATTATTTATTCTCTCCGAAAATATAAGAACGAAAACCTAAGTTGTTGGTCACCTATTATAAACAATGGCTGAAACGTGGAGTTAATGAATATAAAGTGAACAACTCTGCCGTAATAGAAACTGTACATTCTGTTTTTTCTTCCCTTGAAATTTGCACAAAAAAGTAAGTCGAATATATAAAATGCACAGGACAAACTTTATCTGACGAAATAGTGGTGAGTACACCTTGAAGAGTGTTACTCATTTCTTTCTCTACCAGGTGAACCACTTAGTGGATGCCGTTAACAGTACTTTTCAAGAAATGCTTCAAAATAATACATGGATGGATTGCAGTACTCGTGAGGAGGCATTAAACAAGGTACCGAAATCTATTAATATTTTGATAATCTAGTAATAATGTCATTAATTTCAGCTTCAAAAAATGATTCGTAAAATCGGTTATCCTTACTGGATTCTCAATGACACGCATCTTGATCAACTTTATGAATATGTAAGTGGCATTACTAACATTACAGTTTAACCTTTTTTTACTGTGGGTAGAAACTCCTTGTGTCTTATAAATGTTTTCACTAGTTATCTTGGCAAATTGTGGTGTTATAAACATTAATAATGAGCAACTACCGTACTCATCATATTGGATTAACAAATCATATTTAGCAAATTATAGAATAATGGATAACTACGGCTTGCCCAATATATATTGGGCGATTTGATTTAATTTCTACCAAATTGTAGGGGGAAAGGAGAGGGTTGTTTGGTAGAGCAATACGGAATTTAGATAAATATTCTCTGTGTAGCAAATCTTCAGTTTTGTAAAAAAAGAAAACTAGAAGCCATTAGGATACCTTTTTTATTTACAAATATTCCGTAATAATTTATAAAATATTATCAGTCTAATGTTATGTTTTACCACAAAGAGGCCAAAACACGATTGAAAAAAACACTCAAATGAGATTTTGAGGCATCCCACTATGTAGCACTTAAATAATTTTCTATCAAACATCTTACCCTTTAAAACCGCAGTTTCATTCACCGCCTCAATTAGGCTACCACATCAATATAAATATTTCATTTTTGTCTTTGCTTCCATTCGCCAAAGAGTTAATCAATTAAATCACCCTGCTATGCTCATTGGGCGCGTAAGAGAGCCGTTCACTGTAGGATACATATAGTGTAGCCACAGTATCTTTTTACACTGTAGAATTAACGAAACGCCTCCGCATCGAAAATTCGTTTTCCGAGTGTGTATTAACGCTGCGTATTTTACCTTTTGAAGTTTGAAGGCGTTGTTCTCTCCTTGTAAGACGTCAGACCAAGAACCTTGCTGAAGTCAACGGCGGACATGTTTGGCGGCAATCGAGTAAGCAATGCGTGTACCTTGTAGCGCCTTCTCTCTATGAGAACGGCGAGCAGACGACGCACTCTCTGATATGCCTGCTATTTCGCAACTCCATTCCGCCACTCGCCCTCACGCGGACGAAGGAGGAACCAGAGGAGCGGGTACGGCGGTGGAGACGGAAGAAGGGACTGTCGGCCTTGGCGCTGCTGTTAGTGGATGGATCTGGCCGGAATGTTTCTGAAAAATGCTGTTTTAACAGAAAAAACGAGTGCGTTAAAATATAAATTATTGTGTTCAACTTCGCAACAGCGTAGCTCAAAGAAACCAGGATGCCTAATTTCCTAAGGACTTTGTTTTGTAAATTGCGAATTTTGGGTCCTGCGGACGCCAGCTCAATCCGTCCGCAACGTGAAGACAAAAGCTCCTGTGAGTAGAACAAAGCCCTTGCGCGCGATCTACGAAAATGCTATTCTTCACGAAAGTGAAAGAGAACTGCTTGCGCATCGGTATCTCTAGCAATAGACATCGGGAATGGGCTCGCACTTTGTGTGCTGTAATGCCGTAACAAGGAGCATGACCGTTTTCTATAAGAAATAGAATATAACAGAGTATGCGTACTTGCTTTCGCTTAATCACAAAGGCAAGGAAAGAAATGCTCGCGGCATCTTTACCCGCGTCTGGGTTAGCCATCATATATACAATAGCGGATGAGGACAAGAACATAAAAGGGACAAAACAAGCGCTACTCACAACTGGTAATTTATATAGAAATATGAGAAGGAAGCGTGGAATATGATGAATGAAAATTATGAAAAAGGAAAGAATGCAATGATAAAAATTGACTAAATTATATTAAAAATTATACGAAATGAAGAAAAAATAAGAAGCACACAGAAAAACAACGGAAGGTAAAAGTAAGAATAGTTTAAGAAAAACAATTAATGAGGACTTAAAAAATTAAGAAAAGCGGTTGAGGTGGACAAAAATAATGAAACGAACAAGTTGAACCAGCCGTTCGAACGAGTGCTTAAAACGGGCGCCTTTGGCGAGTCGGGTCGCGATGCTGCGAGTAACACGGTACACAGGTGTAGTATCCGCTACATTTGAACATTTATTTTAAAAGAGTATGAAATAAAACTTCCATACATGCCGATGGCGTTCAAGTGTAGATTTAGCATAGTGCTACCGCAGGCTACTGTGTTCACGGCAAAGCTTCTGGCGTGCGCTTAAAATCATTCTTCAATGGTGCAGTGCGAGCTTCCCCTTGTAATGTCGCGCCGTACTGTAGCCTGAGGTCACGCTGTAACCATGACGCAGGTTGATCACATGTTGCAACGAACTAAAACAGCGACGGCGTGCCAGTGAGTTAGGAACCTCACCACAGAGACATCAATACTGCAAATGCTGCTGTTCCGGACCTTGGCGATCACCCTTTATCCCTCAATTTTTATAGCACTGGTGTCCAAGCGCAGCGCAAACACTCAAATATATTCATAACCCTCAAAAGTATTTTGCCTCTTATAATGACGTGAACCGCGCCCAAAACGTGCTCGCCCTCCACAAAGCTTCGCAAAATCTGCAGAATTTCCGGAACTTTTAAACGTCAACATGCTCTTGTTCCTAACGCTTGTCAAGATATCTGTCATCGATGATATGTGACTGCCTTGACCGCTTCGCATTTTCAAAACAAATAAAAAAGTAAGCGCACTCACCAGCGTTAACAAGCAGGCAAACGGAATATTTTGTCAAATCTATCCCCGTCTCTTGTGCTATCTTGGAACCATAGCCCTGCCGTCTACCAGGGTGTTCGCGTTTCGAATACTTCGTTTCACCTTACACTTGTAAAGAGAGAACGCTCGGGCGTTTTGGAGCCAATCAGAGCCACCGAGGCGAAGCACGTGACAGCGCTTACAAAACGTACAGCGGCCAGAGCGTAACTCAAGCAGTTTGAGACAAGGGCAAGGAGTAAGTTGATCCCTTCTTACCCCGAACCTTCTTCTGTATGTCACAGACGTCGCTATCATTCTCTGCCTAGAAGATAAGCCTGCCACTCAAATTCGAACAAAAGTGGCTTTCCTCTTTTACCCGTCCGTGAATTCGACAGCACTGCCAAATCGACCCTTTCCGAGAAGCGTTCTGCGCACGCGCGAGCGCCCGATGCCAAGCGGCGGAAGTCGGCACGAAAAATCGAGGAAATTCGGAAGTAGGCTGTGGATCAGCGAGTAGAACACGTAATATATAATTGCGTTAAACAAAAAAAGAGAGCGGATGGAAAGAAAAACACGACGTTTAGGTGGACGCCACGTATGCCCCTCATTAAAATCGCGTTGGGCACGCGCCGCAGCTAAGAGAGCGAAGAAACTGGTAGCGTAGCTTCCATTATCGATTGGTGGCGCAGGTAGGTCACTTCTTCGATTTTTAGTTCGTGCAGCCACCGCCTGGTGCCGCCGGTGTGAGGAAAAGGTCTATTTAGTCAAGGGGAAGGGGCCGTAGCGTTCCAGTTTTGAGAACTTATATTGAAACGAAGTATAACAGCGCCTAGCGGGAGAGGGTAATTCAAGTTAGGTGCATCGCTTACTCGGTCGCCTGCGAACCCGTACGCCGTTGACTTTGGACTTAGTCATCTGCGAACACCTATTGCTGTTAAAACCCTCTACTTGGCGGTGCGCCAGTACCCTCGAGTTTAACTTACGCAGCACATAGTATAAATCTGAAAGAAATTTTAAGAATATTTTATATTTCAAATATAAATCCTAAACAAATAATAAATTGTACGGCAAAATGCAAAACATTAGTTTCATGGTAATTCAAAATGGCAACTAGACTTTCCTTTCTCCGGGCTAGTGCCTTCAGCAGCCTTTTCAGCCAGGAAGAAGCTTATCATAGCTTTTAAAGAGGTAAAAACAGCGAAAAAAAACTAGTTCAATTCATTATTGTGCTACTTAACATAACGCTTAGGATTTCTTGGCAAAACGTTAGTTACAATCGCAAGGCATGAAAGGAACGTATTTGTTGTCCTCTTTATTACTGTCTAATACCTGTCTTTTGTTCACGCTAAAAAAACACGGCGCTTTCTTCTTTATAGTCGCCACAATAAGATAGGTGATTGCAGAGACGTCTGTAACAAAACAAGTAAAAAACTTGATGAGTCAGTCAATGTAACGTCACAACGCCGTGTTTCTATCTACAATGGTTCTTTTGGGATTGGATTTATCTCAATCAAGGGAAAACTTTATGTTCTCCCTGTATCGCCTTGAAAACGGAAGGCAAAATAAACTACAAGTATTATTATTTTATAAGCAACAAGTGAATACCGCATTTTTCGAAGTTTTGTGCATGTCGCACCTCTTAATAAGTATGTTTGAAGAAAACAATTTAATACATATAAGTTGCGAATTTGTATAAGTCGCACCTATATGTTTGTACAGTCGGCGCAGCGAAACTGCTTTGAAAATTTTAATATAATAATAATCTTTATTTTTCGGGTGCCCTAAAACGGCCGAGCGGCCTTCTCTTAGGTACACCAACTCGTACAATAAAAACTCTTAAACAAAATTCCTACTCATTAAAAAGAAATAGATTTGCATATACACTGACGCGCTATGAAGTGACGAAAAGTTCGTCCAACTGACAGCGAAACGCAGGCAGGGGTGTGGTGATGTCAACTTGAGGTGGCACAATGCTGTTATACAATGTCTGTAAACGAGAAAGAGGTGACACACGGCATGGTGAGCAAATATCAAAACAGGTGAGCTGTCTCGACGCACGGAAAGGAACATGGAAATAGATTTTACTAATAAGCCATGAAGAATCAATGGCACCATTAATGATCTTATGCAGGAATACCAAGTCAAGGACTGTTCTTCTGTGTGATAAAAGCTTCAGCGAAAATCTATTCAGTAAGCATTCATAGTCATAATACACGCGTCGTCCAATCCATCTATCATAGACAATTCGAACAAATCTTTTTGCATACGTTCTATGATCAAAGCCTGTGTCACAGAAATTGAATTCCAAATCACAGAAGCAAACTCAAGCCTTGAAACCACTAAGGATTGAAAAAGATGTACTGAACAATGGGGCTTTTTAAAATGCTTGGTCAAACGCGATATAACTCCTAGAACTTTCATTGCAGAGCTGACAACAAAAGAGACATGATTTTTAAAAGTTAATCCGCAGTCAATGAACACACCAAGATCCCTTACAATTGACACTCGTTCAATCGGATTTCCCTCAAGATGATAAGTGTTATTTATGATCGCGCGGCGTCTGCACAAAGATATCACTTTTGTTTTTAAAGGATTAAGAAATAACTGATTTTGTTTACACCACTGTGCTATATTAGACACATCATGTTGTATCAGATCACAATCTAAATGACAGTGAACACTCTTAAACAACTTGATATCGTCAGCAAACAAAAGCAGTTCAAAGTTCTTTACACATGACGCTATATCATTTATAAAAATTGAAAACAGTAGAGGACCCAAAATTGAACCCTGGGGCACGCCTGATATTGAAAAAACTCTTTGGAATAACTGTCAGCGACCCGAACACTATTTGATCGAAAAGACAAATAACTCTTAAACCAGTTACACAATTCTGTACGGACACCATACAGATGCAACTTGGACAGAAGCAACACGTGACTCACTTTATCGAAGGCTTTTGACAAATCAAAGTATATTGCATCTACTTGTTCTCTGTTTAAAACAAACGGCACACAGTAATCTAAAAAGGTACACAAATTTGTTTCCACAGACCTACCCTTTAAAAAACCGTGCTGCAAGGGCGTTATTTTTTGACGGAAATAAAAAGTCATCCTGCTATGCACAACAATCTCAAAAACCTTGGAAAAAGCACAAAGCAGAGAAACTGGACGGTAGTTCGCAACTACAGATGCGTCACCGCCTTTTAAGATAGGAACAACAACTACTTTTTTCCAGAGCGAAGGGAAAACGCCTGAACTGAGTGACATTTTAAAAATGTGCTTCAAAATAGGAATGAACAGCTGACCGCAACCTTTGATAACAAAACCTGGTACACCATCTACACCAGAAGAAAACTTCGTTTTTAACTTTCTTATCGCCTCGGCAATATCAAGAGAGTCCACTCTTATAGAACTCAAAAAATCGTGACAAATCAGCTCCTTATCCTCCGGTAGAACGGATTGCTGATTGTCAGAAAAACATTTGGCAAAATAATCAGCGAAAACATCTGCAACTTCATGAGGTGATGAAACATAACCCGGGGCGTTATCTGAACAGGCACGTAAGCAGATGATAGGACTAACGTCACGTGTATGTTGCTTCGTGAACTTCCAGATAGTCTTCGGGCGGCGAAACAAGCTATTTTCTACGCTGTCAAGATGCATGCGTTTATCGCGCTTGAACAGTTTCTTCGCCAAGGCCCGAAATAAACTGAATTTGGTGTACATAAGTGAAGAGCCGCATTTTTTATAAAGACGGTGGAAATGTTCTTTCTTGACCAAATAACATTTTAAATCCCTGGAAAACCATTCAGGATATTTGGATGGCTTTGTTGAACGCTTCGGTACAAAAGTGTTGATGGCATCTTTTACAATTGTCGTTAGAGTCTCGGTAGCACGATCGACACCAGACATGGCGAGAACGTTAGAACAGTCGAAAGTTTCAATATATTTATACAAGCCAAGGTAATCTCCTTTTAAAAAACTGTAAGCTAATGGCTTTGACGATATCCGCGACTTCCACGAAAAGTCCGCATATATGTACTTTGATCGTAATATCTGCGCAAGCGAGAGCAACTTAATAAACCCGTCGACCAATCTAACGAGAAATGTCACCCCCGTTAAATATTTATGCAGCTTAGGTCAATACATCTTGAAACAGAGAGCATATAGGTCGCACCGTTGTCTAAGACGCACCGACGGAAAACTGTATTCGTTTTGAGAAAAAATATTCGAGATATACTAAATATTTACGTGTTTTCTTAAAGGTGCCTAACCTTTCCTTGAACGACTCATTTGTGAACGTATTGCACAGTCTGAAGCAAAATCACTTCATTAAATACCTTCAAAATTTACGTCAACCATATAAGAGGGAAGATCAGTGAGTATTGGTATTATACACGCTAGTTTTGGTCCATTGTTTGTTTTACATAGGCGTCACTTACGCAATAACGTTCCACTTTCTTCATGAAACTTTCTACAGGTGGCACCCTAGTCCGGCAGAAGTGGGCGCGTATTACAATGGACTGGTAAACGATATCAGTAAGTACAACCTTTCTTTAAAATCATACTTTAGAAATTCCAGACATTAACCAAACTGGTGAAAATTTTAGAAATTTTCAGATGTGAAAAGAAAATGTCAGCTAAGCAATCTTTTGTATTTTTATCCATTGACGTGCAAGTGATAGAGCTATCACCACCATTTGTCATTTGTATTGCAATGTAGCATATTTGTATCTCAATATATTTTTTACTCTTGCGTGAGCACTGAATTGTTCTGGGAGGTGATTTAATTTCTCAAAATTTTAAAAATACTACTCTTACTGGTCTTAGTTTTAAGAGTTAAAAGGTATTTTTATAGCGACCACATCGAGTGCAAGAATGTCTCACGTCATGTATTTAATCGACTTCATTCAGTAAAACTCAAGCCTAGTACAGTTATTAATTCATGAAAATTAAAGGGATGTAGTAATTATATTAGTGAATAAAACCACGTTCTAATAAGCGGTTTTCATGAACTCCCAAATTGATTCCATGCATAATTTACTTGTATTGTTTTAAACAATGCATGTAAATATGTTGCTGTATATTACACTGTTTATTAGCAAGTATACTTATCTAGAGCTTCATATATAGTTTGGGATTATTACTAAAATGACGCATACAACCTATGTTTCAGCTTTCTCTGCTGGAATACTTCAGCCGCCATTTCTTCAAGACGATATTCCTTCGTAAGTGGCGTCATGAATTCAATGGAATTTGTTATCGAAAGGCTTCTTTTGAAATTAAAGTAGGCTTTGCTCTTCACCAAACGTCTCGAAAGCGCCCTTAATGAGAGCTGTCGACCAATGTCGACTATTTAAAATTAAATAAAATAATTAGCGAGGCTGCCCTGTATAGGAATAATTGTAATTTTCTTGTCTTTCTTTTTTTCTTACGGCCCTTGGGATGAAAAATATTATAGACGAAACGGGTTCTTGGAAACAATTCTTCAATGTAGCAAACAAATTAAAATTAAACAGAACAAAAATGTATGAAAACAGAATTACCAATCTTGTTAATCAAGATTGAGCTGTGTGGTATGATTTCCCGCAAATTATCTACATTAGTTGCAATAACAATATCACTTGAAAATAAATTTATTTACTTATGGAAAGCCCCATATTATTTATAACAAAAACAATTTCTATACTCCCGAGTTGGGCAAGTTGCGAGCTCGTTTTATTTATTCTAAATACAGTTCAGGCGAGAAATGTGGCAGCGCTCAGTGAGTTGTGTAATGCAAAATGTTTCTTGCAAATGGAGACCGTAGTGCTGGGTGATTTCTCTAAAATTTATTCTTCTCCTACAGCGAGCTTGACAAGAATGAGTCCTCTCCCTGTAATGCGAGATGCATAGGGTGACACAAGTCACCAGGCTCGATCAAAAATGGACCGCAAAAATCGACGCTTCCACGTACCAATCAAAACGTTTCATCAAAGGTGTATTTTACAGGTCGGTGTTTTTTGTAAAATTACAAAGCGCAGCTCTTTTTCTGTAAAAAAAAACTGTCAAGAAACTTGACAAGATGTACGGCGGGCGACCACGCAGACGACTAAATCAAGCAGCGAGGTGTGTTTGGCCTCCGTATTGATAGATGGCGCTACCTTGTTATTGCGACGGCTCGTCACCACCATGGTTTATTAAAATGAACATAATCCTTTTAAATGTAGCTTTGGTTAAAAAATGAATGCGGACATTAAAAGCAAAACCTAAAGTACAAAAAACGTCTGCATAAGCTAGACGGCGCTTTCGCTGTCAACGGATTTCGTCTGCCTGTCGTCTGCTTTCTTTCGCTGGTCGGCTGCACCTTCGAAGGCTGCTTCTGACGCCATATATTAATACGAACGCCAAACACACCCGGCTACTGGACTTGGTCGTCCGCGTCGCCGGCCGTCGTAGTTTCTTGGCCCTATATTTTACAGAAAGAGAGCTACGCTTTGTAATTTTACAAGAAAAAACGACCTGTCAGATACACCTTTGAGGAAAAGCGTAGATTGCTACGTGCAGGCATCAATTTTTACGGTCGATTTTAGATCGAGCCTGGTCCCTTGGGTCACCCTATATACCACGATTATGAAGAGCTCATTTGGTATAATATATATGACATTGTTTTCTACTACCCCACATGTTTTAATTCTTTTGAAAGGTATCATTCTAGCAAGCCTCATCCTGGCAGTCAAAGCTTCGATAATAAGCCTATGCTTGTCTAATTCCTGCTGAAAGAAACTCTGCTGGTGCGCGAAACGCACATAGGCTCATAGTAGAAAAACCCAAAGACAAGGAGTTAAAAGGACAGAACAACACCGTCTGACACCAGCACAACAAGGATTTCAAAAGAGAGCTAATGGTTTGTTTTTGACGATGAGTCACCACGTTTTTGTTGGTCTAGTGGTTATGTATTCACCGGACGCTTAAGACTGTAGACGTGCACGTGTCCTTCTGCTTGATGCGTTCAAACGAGGCGCTTGCTGATGACCAGGGGATACGAAGAGAAGAAGAACGACTGTGTCTAATTAAATCCTTGCTGTGTTGGTTTTGAGATGGTATTGTTCTGTTCTTTTAGCTCCTTGTCTATGGGTTTTTCTACAATGATTCGTCACCAGCTCGCCTGCGTCTTTACTTTAATTTCCTTAGTACATAGGTTGCTATTTTGAGACTTGTCGGAACGTTTTATGCGGAGATATACGAGGATGTTTCAAAAAGTAAGAGTAAGTTAACAATGTTTTATTAAAAAAGCACTGTAGGCGTTTGAACCCCTTGGGAAGTTACATTCTTAGAGAAGGTGATATTTTCCAGTAGATAGCGCGACGTGGTTAGTAGGAACGGTAGCATATACGAAATGGCGGCGTCCCTAAATGTTTGCAACGTTGAGGAGCAGCGAGCGTCATCCAATTTTGGTGATCGGAAGGCGTGAAACCTCAAATAATTCACAAAATTATGCCTCAACAGCGTGAAAATGCCTGCATTAACGAGAGAAGTACCTATGAGTGCGTTGACGTGTTTATAACTGGGCAGACATCAATCCGTGATCGGAAACGATCATGTCGTCCTAGCACGGCCGGGTTGTTGCTGGTCACTGATTGATTTACGGCCATGTTTAAACTCCTCGTACCACTCGTGCTTTACTCTCAGTAATGCTTCACGGTGCGCAACAAAGCCATTTGTTAAAAATCGCCCAGTCCTAAAACATGGCAAGCAAAAGGAAAACTATACGTATGTGGTTATGAGTTGAACAAAGGAACGGCACGAATCACCCAAGAAAGCCGGAAAACTGTTCTTATTTTAGATGAGAAACAAAAAAGTATGCGGAATTGAAAACAAGTAAAAACCTAAAATGCGAAACCCTTCATATGGCGTTTTATGTTCCAAATCATTGTGTAGAAAGTTAACACGTGCTTCTAGGCTTGCATCTAAAGCTTTATTTTTTCAGATCAATCAATATGGGAGCAATTGGAGCGGATATAGGCCATGAAATTTCTCATGCTTTTGATAACTCCGGTAAGTATACCTTGACATAGTTTGGGACTTTGAAGTGCAGTTTAGTTCTGTTCGCGCCTTTTAACCTTTTGAGAAACTAGATTTTCCTGTGAACAGAATAATTAATTTATTGATAGTGCATTGAATTGTAATAGCTCATTGTTTACAATTTACTTAGCGAAGCCACTGATCATATTTAGAGTTAGATGCAGCTGTCTACCAGTTTTGGGCAAAATACTCTATAAAATTATTCGAGTTAATTTACAAATACATTTTTCATAAAACATCTAAAATACCACTCAAGTTACTTGAACTGAGTAGAATACAAATACTTACGAATGTAATTACACTACTTTTTTAAGATTTTATTGCATAATTTGTATCGACGTCAGTGACAAACACGATTGCACAGTTGCGCAAATTTGGTTTACCGGAATAGTTTATTAGCACGTAACAGCACGAAAAAAAAAACATTTTAGTTTTTTTTTTGTGCCGCCAAACTATAAGGAGCAGGATATTCCTGATACATGTTGCCAAACATTTCTAGGGTAATAAAAAAAAGTGGTCGCTTCAGCATAGTGGCATCGCGGAATATAACGTCGTGCGGTGCTCCTTATACACATCGTTCAACTACAATTTATATTATGTTTATGGCGAGTTCTAAAAGAAACGAACTTGAGATACGGAATTTAGTCAATAGAGAACGAAGAGTCCACATAAGAGCGAGGTCACTGGTCGCACCTTCTTCAAGTAGGCTGCGTTTAAGGGGACGCTATGTTGGTATTTTTAGAGGCCATTCTGCTCGTAATTTGTTTGCTGTTCCGTTCTCTGCTGATCGCGTTCACTAACAGACAGTGTTCGCGAAAACAATAAATGCAAAACTAATGAAAAAAAAAAACCTCGACGTTTTATTCTAGCAAAATCAAATAAAGAACAAGCAAAAAATAACGCGTTTTTGGGTGTTTACTTCTCATTTTCTTCTATTTATAATTTCCTTGGTACTGAATTGTGTATTGTTCGCGTGGGCTGTTTTCCGTTGTGCGCCTCAGTGTGGCAATCTTTACTTCAATAAAACCACCCCTTTTGTATGACGACCTTTTTTTGTGGTGGGGGGGGGGGGGGGGGACTCTAGGAAACAAAAAAGTGCCCTTGAGAAGGCGAGGGGAAAAACTTCATTGTACGAACTTTAGGTTAAAATATGAGTCAAAATCGGCGCAAAAGCGATGCCTTCACGAGCTCGATCTAGGTCACCGTAGCTTATCAAAGTTAGCAACGGGATTTGGTTGCTCGAAATATTGTTAAATTTTGCTCGCGCCATGCCCACGCCACTTCAGACCGAAACACTCGGAACATGGCGGAATGTCAAAAATATACGTGAATAATGAATACCAGATACACAGAAATGTAATTAAAATACAGTATCAATTACTTTCGATCAAAAGTATTTGCAAGAAACCAAGATACATCAAAACATATTCGAAATACAGTAGCTTAAGTAGAGTATTTTAGATAGGCAAACTCTGCTGTCTATTCTCATTTTGACATTTTGTACAATGTCCCCTCCAGCACGGAGCCCGTGTGATGATGGAACCATTCATTGAAAACCCAGAATTGTTCCAGGTTCTGTCTGTCTTTTTCTTTCGCGTCACGACCACTCGTCGTGCTTCCTTCCCGAAGCCGTGTTCGTATTCAAGTCTCTATATCCCAACATCTTCCAATTTTATACTATTATTTTACTCTTTCCCTCAAAAGATAATCAAATCAATTTTGAGAACGTATTGAAATTAAGCGGCATTTCACTTCACTAAACTCTTCCTCGAAATATCGCAATCCTGAAATGGTGATTTCAACGATACCGCAGACACTTCGCGTAACCGAGAAGAAGAAACTAGAGGTGAAGAAAAGATTGTACAAATTATCCATATAAGCGCCGAAATTTGCTCATTCTTGTGGGACAAAAAAGCACACCAATCGCATCACCCTCGGTTAGTAAAACAACCTCAAAATAGGTGAAAAATCGTAATAACATATATTTGTTTGCCCTTCAGCCGGTCTCCATTTCCAACTGAGCACCGTCAATAGCGCCACTGTACTATAAAGAGACTTTCATGTTGCATTATCCCTTGCTCGTGTGAATCAGAAAGATAAAGCTATGTATTAAGTACTCTTTATTTCAATGAAAAAAGAACACTCGATAAAAAGATTGCAGTTCATACTCTACACTGGCGCGCATCAAATAAGGCAGTCGAATCAAGGGAGGACTAGGGACAACTTAGTGTCGTAAAGAACAAGCTGCTACCGGACATGACCTTTCTAAGGTCCTCCCGCTGCTTGTCGGCATTTGCTAAGTTCATCTACGCCCTGTCGATGCGCTCCAAAGGCGAACGTGGTTACCACGATGTTTTGCTCCTGGACTACCTGTCTCTTTTTCAAGCATCTTTTTTCGGCCGGAGGATGTTGAACGTCCTGTAAGCAGACGTCGGCATTTTAGGCTGCCTTCGCTCACCCTCACCCTCAATGCCACACTCGCCTCAGCCCCTCACCCACCACCACCCTAACATCTACACTCAACCTAAGCCCCTAACTCACACTCACCCTCCACAGTCACACTCACTTTCAGCCCTCCACTCACCCTCACGCACTCACAGCTTTTACGGCCCTCACGCCCTCACACCCCTCAAATTCCTCACTCGCCCTCACACTCAAGAATTTTCAAGGTTCAGTGACTAACTCACCCTCACCTCACCTGTGAAGATGAGGGTGAGTGAGGGCACTCTTGAGTTTGGTTTGTCTAGGTATGCCGCCAACTAGCAAAACGTCGCCACCGGTGCCTCGCTGTCTGGAGCGGCGCTCGAGCGAGCTCCCGACCATTCCGACTCAGTTTCGTGTTTACTCCGAAAAGTAACGAAGAAAACGGCCAACCTAACTCTAGCTGCGCAAACCGCACTATCAAACGGCGCCGAGCAGCGAGCCTTGGCTCACACTAACTTCTTCTTTCTCACCCGTCACCCAATTATCAAACCGCACCAAGCATCCGCGCGGCGAAATTATTGCGAGGCGAGCGTCGACCCCATTTCCCAGGATATGCCGCGAGAGGTCACAATACCCGCTCGACTCCTCACAAATTATCTATGCCTTCAAGTGAAATATCGACTCACAGAGAAGTCATAATCTCACACAAACCACACACGAAAACGCACGCGCTTCATTCGAGCTCGGATCCCTTACTAACTGATGCTCCTCACTGCCCTCACGGCGATCACACCCCTCATACACTCATATTCCTCACGACCCTCACGCACTCCTGACCCTCGCGCGCTCACCGCCCTCACGCCCCCCACGCACTCGCTAGCCTCACACCCCTCCGGGTCCTCACGCCCCCATGCACTCATCCCCATCGCGCACTCACTAGCCCCACATCCCTCACGCACTCACGGTCCTCACTGTCCTCGCGCACCCATGCTCCTCACGCACTCATACCCCTTACGCAATCACGGTCCTCACAGCCCTTATGGCCCTCACACCTCTCGCGAACTCACGATCCTCACACACCCTCACACTCATGAATTTTCGGGGTTCAGAAACTCGCTCACCCTCACTCCGCGTGTAAAGAAGAGAGGGAGTGAGGGTGAGGGAGGGCCGTCATGACTGAGATTTGCAGAGGTATGCCCAGAAGACCCCATGGGAAATTTGGTTCTCAACAAGCTTGCACAATTCAGTTTTCGTGCATGTGCCGGTATATCTTGTCGTCTATGATTTCCAACGCTTTTCGATAGTTTATTTTGACGTTGCTTGACTCTGCCCTAAAAGAAAGGCAAGAAAACTTGCCTTCTGCCTCACCGCTTTTCCAGAAGGAGAAGCCGAGTCATAGTGACACCATTTATTGAAAGCCGAAATGCGGTGGCCTGCGCCGTCATGCTTGCACTCTCTCGGCTTTTGTTCGGTCTGTCACGTTCATATCGCGCCAAGAGGCTCCGGAAATATAACGAGAATTTAGCAATGATATAACTGAATTACGCGTGCTTCAGCGCGAACTGAGTCTTGATATAAAACACACACGTAAATATACAACGTGCAGAACAAACAGATATCAAAGCCATACGGTAATGACAATGAAAGCAAAGTTTCTAGGTCGTGTTTAAGAGGAAATCTGTAAAAAAGCATTCGAAAACGCACAGGATGAAATGGCATGGGAAAACACTTGCATGGGATTGATCGGACACATGTTATCAAAACTCTTTACTATTAAATGCCCCCCCTTCCCCGCGAACTTCCTATCTCAGCACTGCATTAACACTATCACCGCCTATGTACAACCTGATTCGCACTTTTTGCTTCATATCTGCGTTTAGAAAATGTAAATTCTGACATATACTTATATAGGTAATGTTGCCTGTTATGCCACCAGGAAGCCAATATGATGCTGATGGAAAGCTGAGGAACTGGTGGACAGACGCCGCACAAAAGGAGTACCTAAACAGATCTGAATGTTTTGTACAGATGTACAACGTACCTGTAAAAGAAGTCAACATGACTGTAAGTGACGTCCAAACATTCCTTACCATTATTCTACATATTAGTGAATGTGTTACAACAGTAAATTATAACTCGGTACATTTTCAGGTTTTCAAAAACACGCTCGAAAACTCGCAGTGTCTTAATAATTTCGTCCATTTCTTATATACTATTACGTTTTAAATCATAGTTTTGTATTTATTTATCTATTATTTTATAATGTAGTATTTAAAAATTTTATCAAGCAGAGTTTCTTACATATATATTGGAGTTCAAATTTTATTTGGAATAGATATGACACACTGAAATTTACACTAAAGTCAGGGAACTTTGTCTAAATACACCAACTTAACTCTCATGTTATGGGGACACAGAGCCGGTATATAAGCTGGTTTCTCCATATACGTAAAGGACCTGCATTCACAAAGGACTTATATGCATACAGGTTTCCTTGTGTGCATAGAGTAGCCTATACGCAAACATGTTCACCAATTGAAAAGGCATTGTACAATCTAGCTAGGTGAAACCGTTTTAGAGGACACACGCAAGGTGAATTTTTTTTATTATTTATTTATTTATTTATTAGAGTACCTACATCGCCTAAAAGGCATTACAGTAGGGGGGGCACAAAAATAACATGCAAAATATACATCGTTATACACACAAAAAAAAGAAGAAAACACTACTAGACTTATAAAGACTAAACCATATGAAATTTTAAACAATTGATTGAATTTTCTCAAAGAACAGCTCTGTCATCAAAGTTTCTACAAAGTCATTAGGAAGCTTATTCCAATCCTCAACAGACCGTGGAAAAAAAGAGAATTTAAAAACATCAGTTCTGCACTTATATGGACGGATCTTTTTTGAATTGTCAACCCTTAAAGACACATAAGCAGGTTCTAGAAGATGTGTTGATTTAGATATACCAGTATTATTGTGGAAGATGTTATGCGGAAGTTTTAGACGAAGGCACTGGCATCTGTGCCTCAGCGGCCTCCAGTCCAGCGATGACTTCAGTTCAGTTACACTTTTCTAAATCATAATTTCCCGTAACAAACCTTGCAGCACGGTTCTGTATTTTTTTCAATCTGCTCCTCCAAGTTGAACCTATAGGGGTCCCAGATTGTACACGCATAATCAAGAACTGATCTAACAAGTGAAAAATATAAGGTTTCTTTCAGTGACGAGGAGGCCAATCTAAAATTACGTTTAATGAAACCTAGCGATCGACTAGCCTTGGCGGTTATATGGTCAACATGTTTATTCCAACTTAAATTTGACGAAAAAATAACTCCTAAATATTTAGTTTCATTTAAAAGGTAGAGGGGCAATCCACCAATGGTGTATGAAGATGGGGAGAAATTAGTTTTTCTTGTGAACCTGATATAGACACATTTCGATATATTCAAAGACATACGCCATTGAAAACACCAAGCTTCAATCCTATCCAAATCACTTTGAAGAGCAAGGGCGTCAGCATTACATGAAACATCTGCGTACAAAACGCAATCATCGGCATATAATCTTATTTTAGAAGAAACTTTTTCGACCTGATCATTAATGAAAATTAAAAACAGGAGAGGTCCGAGTACCGATCCCTGTGGGACACCAGATGTAACTTGGACTGACGGGGACCGAATCCCATTAATTACTACAGACTGTTTCCTGTAACTTAATAGTCACCTATCCAAAAAAAAATTTTGGAATCAATGTTCAGTTTCCGAAACTTAAACATGAGGAGAGCATGTGGAACCACATCAAAGGCCTTATTAAAATCTAAAAATATGCAGTCGACCTGTTTTGCCCTATCGAATGACAATGCCAAGTCATGATAGAATTCAGTTAACTGAGTAGTGCAGGATAAACGAGAACGGAAGCCATGCTGAGCTGGAGTAAAAAAATTAATTTAGGCAAGGTGACTCATGAGACTGGTGTAAATCACGTGTTCCATGACTATACAAGATTCACTCGTAAGAGAAATTGGCCCGTAATTAACGACTAGATTTTTGGGACCAGGCTTGTGAATCGGGACAACATTTGCAGTTTTCCAGTCATGTGGTATACACCAGTCTCCAAAGACACTGTAAATATAATGGTCAAGTAACGGGAGATAACATCAGCACCGGACTTTAAAACAGTGTTCGGGATATCATCGGGACCAGACGCTGAACCTTGCCTTATTTTGGTTAAAAGCTTAGAAATACCATGCACGTCAAAATAAATTTCAGACATGCGAACCACAGGGTTAACCGTTACTTCGGAATGATCATAATCACACGTAATGACATCCGAAAATACAGACCTAAAGTAGTTATTAAAAGTGACAGCCTTTAAGTTGTCATCGGTGACAATGTCACCACTGACACTCAAAGGTGCGACGCCCACGGTATCCTTACGATTTGATCGAATGAACTTCCATAACTCCTTCGGGTTCTGTTTAAGCTTAGTATTTAGCGTCGCGAAGTAATTTGCTCGGGACGAAGTTATCGCATGCTTGAGGGCAGCTCCTATCTCAATTAATTTTCTGTAAGATGCAGAGTCATGGCGTGTGCGGTATTGTTTCAGGGCACGTTTATTTTTATTTGTTAATTTGCGCAATTCAGAATTAAACCATGGTTTGTCACGACGTCGCTTGGACGAAAGAATTCTAGATGGAACGAAAGTTTCAACAAGGGTTGATAATCTCGTTTTAAAAATGTTCCACAATAAATGCACGTCACCCGATACGCTTAATTCTTCGAAAGCCGGAAAATATGAACTTAGGTTATTCGATAGGCCAGTATAATCACCCCTATCGAATAAGTACACTTTCTTAGGACGAAACGAAAAATAATGTTATTAACGATAACGTGATTAAATTGTCAGTTCATAAATCTAAATGTGTGTTTCTTTATATAAATCTTGAGTTAGGTGTGATAAACCTCGTTTTTTTAATGTTCTGGCTGCAATGCACTTGCAAAGACCATGTTCTTGCGCACACCTGAGGCGCAGCAAAACGCTTAAAAGACCATTGTAAAACAAAATAATTTGCTTCTTTTAAACGCCTGAGTGCAATGATCCACAAAACAATACGTGCTGTTTCTCTTTTATGTAAAAATATTCGAAAATTACAAAAAAATACACTTCACTTTTTTACATTTTTAAGAAATAAAAAAAAATACATTCTAAACAAGCCTTGATAGTTGCATTCGACGTATCCTGGAGCATACGCACGATAAATTTGGTTGAGATAGGAAAATAATTTTATTAGAAGTACAAATGCGCTCGGCGAACGTTCATTTTTATATTGTATCATGACGTTATCATCATATATGACAACCAATATATTTAACCGGTCATTCTGTCTTTTTTGAAATAGCCTTTCCGAATTGATCAGAACACCCAAAAGCAGAACAAATGTGTTTATTGTTCATTGCTCTCTCTTTCTTTCCTAAAACAATACATAAGTGAAACCTTTCTTGAAAAAAATTGTTTCCGACACAGCATTTCTTCGTAATTTAAAGGGGTTGTGTGCGCGATTCTTCCATTACCTTGGCAACATCGACTGAAACAGACACGCCCCTTGGGGAAAGAGGAAGGCATAGACCATGTGATTTGCGGGAATGAGAAATAACATATATTACTTAAAGAAGCGGAAGAATGAGTATGAGAGAAAAAAAAGTTAAACGCCGGAAAACACCGGAACAAGCATCCGCAAGCGATTTCGAAGGCGCGTACTTGCGGCAGTTTTATGTTGCAAACTACGTCGTTTGAGGCAACACCAGCTAGACAACAGGCCTCCACGTGGTCTCCTCTCCCTCTATGAAAAATCATCAGAGTCGGATCGCGCTAACTTGGCTATTGGACCCGACCCGACCTACAACGCGCCGATTGGACACGAGCCCCAGCCGAACACTGACTCATCACTCGTGCTTAATCTCACGTCTCGATCGATCTGACTGTGATCACGCGTGCGGAGGGCCTCTGTCTAGGTGGTGTTGGCAGAGATCTTCCTCTAAGCACCCCTGTAATTTCGAAACTACTCGCACTCATAAAAACTGACAAGCTAAACGAGCTTCGCTCGTTCAGCACTCCACTGACGCCGGCAGTCAAGTTTGTTAATATTTCAAACCAAAGCTGGAGAATCAATCTAAGAATACATTTGAAATCACTAATTAAATCTTGATTACTTTCTTCTCAAACATAAAAAAATATTGTTGATTAAAATACTATCACGGCACGGAGATACAAATTTACAACCAACCTTTCACACGCCAATCATCTCCCCAGCCAATGAGAAATGTAAGCACCTTGTAAGCACGGGGCGGAGCTTAGCCAGCTCCTACCTCCAACTTTTGCAACTAAATGGCGTCTCAGGGTGTAAATATTGCGCAAACAAACAAGAAAGTATTTTCGTGAGAACATTATTTAAAAAAAAAATACGTGTCCCATCTATACCCTTTGAAAAAATATGTTTTCTTTGCCGTGTTCTTTTAACGGCCTTAGAATAGAATATTTTGAAACAGTCTAGGCACATGCTTGATAGAGTAGCAATATGCTGATATCTTACCTTAATTACTCAGTATGAGACTTGAAAGAAAGAGAGAGAGCGGTGACGTTATGAAAGACAGGGAAATTGAAAGTTAAAATATCTAATAAAATACACCAAAGAGGGACAAATGGCTAAGTTACTGAATGTGCCAAAATCGATGTTGGACCTTGGTCCGATTCCTACTCACGCTAATGCATATTTTTGTTTCACATGCCTTTCCGCATAATATAAAAAAGTTGAACCAGACATTTTTCGAGTAAATCTTCGTATTAATCATTCCATTTGTGCCACACACGCCATAGCTCTTCAAATACTCGCACTTTTGAGTTAAATTCTTGCACAACTTTCATGAAACGAAGGTTTGATGAAAGTTGTGTGCATTTTTATTCTTAAAGGTATGAGTGACTACCTCACACCTTTACTACGCTGTTTACAATTATATAATATAGTTTTGCTTCTTTCAGCTAGACGGACGTTTTACTCTCGGTGAAAACATTGCTGATAACTCTGGTTTAACAGCAGCCTATCTGGTAAGCAGGTTAAACAGTTAAAATAAAACATTGTGTGAAGTGTATATATTCAGGGTAAAAATAAATCTCATAATCTTTTTTAACACATCCATTTTAAGGCATGGAAAAAATTCAATGATACCGAACAACTCCTTCATGATCTAGAATACTTAACGGGAGACCAGCTGTTCTTCGTTTCGTATGCCCATGTAAGTTTCATCTAAAACGTCTTCTTAGATTTAACAAATTACAAATATATGTAATACTCCTAGAAGCCTTGTATGATACACTGTACAAATGTTTCTTCTTCAGCAGTACTTTTTGGCGACATGACCCTGAAGCACCCTCCAGTGGCATACCATTACCAAAACCCCCAGCTAGCTTCTCCCTGGTTTAAAACTCTCTTAGCTGTATCGCACCTAACTTTAGGGAGGCAGAAACACATGTAATTGAAGACGTTGAATGTTACATAACCCCATCAAAATCTTAAGTGGCGAAAAGAAATATCGTCAACACGTTCTTCCGCCGGATACTTCAGAGCCCTTATGCAATATCTCTTGCCAAAACCTAGCTCATAGAAAGCCAAGTGAAAGAGTATGTAGGGTGCATTTATTTTTCACAAATACATATTTTTCTAGAAAGCGCCGTGATTCTACACAAATGGGTTCTGCGCAAGTGATTTATATTGTCCGGGGGACATTATGTTTAATAGAGAATGCAACTTATAAATGACTACTTCTCGCGTATTCACCAATTTCTTTTTTATTCAAATGTTTTATGGATCATGTTTATATTGAAGAAATGAAGGAAATCAATATTGAATCACAGCATTGTTTTTCAAAATACTAGATCGAGCATGCAGTTTTAGTTATTCATTCTCAAGTTTTGTTCTGGAATCTTTCGATACTGAAACCAAATATGCGATGCCTGCCTGTAGGACAACCCTCGTTTGACGCCGGATGGTCACGTGTTAAGGACGAAATTCGCGTCCCTATTTTTGTGGCAGCGCGCAGGAGCTGATTGCAGTCGTTTTTACGTGGCTGGGGAACTAAAGCGATAAGCCACCTTCTCTGCCGCGACATGTTGCGATATCACAGAAAAACGTATAACCCATAGGTGCAAGTCCGGTTCAAATCATCAAAATGTGAATGTTTTAACCCGCTGTGACGTAAAAGTGACGCCGATTAATTATTAACACGTGACCCGCCGGCATCATACGATCATTGTCCTTCCTGCTGGCATCGCGAGTTTGGTTTCAGAATCGGCAACTTTTTAGAACATACTTTCACATTGAATAACTCGAGCTGCGTGTTCGATCCATGATTTTTAAAAAAAACTGGGCTGGACTTCAACATTGATTGCCTCGATTTTTCAATATAGACATGTGCCCTAAACCGTCTAATGAAGAAAGTAATTAGTGACGTTTTGTTTATTATTCAGCTATTGCATTCTTCCCTGAACCTAATGTACGCCTGGCCGTATGACTCACCTTTCGAAACTGCATTTGCGTATCTTTCACGAATATTTTGAGAAAATATTTTATTCGATAAAAAACATCCTGAATAGTATACTACAATGTGCTCCTAATAACTGCACTCTAAGAATAAGACAGCTTAGGTGAACTTTTGCTTCAGACTCATGCTGCGCACGTACACATGGCTTGCACGCGACGTCATCAAAGCCTGGTCATTCAGTTGTTTTCGCGGCGAAAAACAAAGTTGGCGATGCGAACATACGCCGCTGAAGACATACTCAGCAGCAAGGCCATCACAATAACCGCTGTATGATGTAGTTGCTAGTCATGTTTATATACTCCTAACGGTCAGCTAGGTGCACGGGACAATGTGTAATTTAATAATTGTGCTATATTAGTAATCTCGAAATATATGTTATGTACACTTTAGGAATAATTACCCTTGTTTCATGAAAGCTCACAATTAGCGTACGTTAAGTGCGCTGCTGTTTTTGAGTGTTTATATGAACCGTTTATCGTGTATCGTTGACAGAGCAGATCTGGGGCTTTGATTATTCAGCTTTCCTATTCATGCAAATAGCATAAGATAGTTTATACAATTAGTAATGCGAGGGATTTTCGAACGTTCTCATCTCTCAAAATGTGTGTATCGTTTAATAAGTTACCAGGATAAAAATATTAAAAATTGCAATATTTTATCAATTTTGTTTTGTTAACACTGTGTAATATTGCACCTTTGTTTTCTAAGAACTGGTGCACGAACATCAGGGAAGGAAGGCTGCGACATGATATCATTAATGACGTCCACAGTCCTGCCAAATATCGGTGAGAAAATCCTTGTTGGGGAGGAGTGTAATCCTGAAATTTGTTTTACGATTTTCAAGCACAAAGAAATTATATTTCATTCTCCTCTATTTTTCTGAAATATGTTTTTATATTGAATTCAGAAGCAGTGCATTAACTGACGGGGGAGGGGGAGAGATAGACATATTCGAAGTCAGCTATGCTTAAATGTTTTTCCAAGAGCAGCATGCTGTAAGCATCGTGGACTGACACACCTAGTTTTCGCATGTTCCTTTGTGGAATTGTTTTCATATATGCTAGAATGTAGCCGCCGCCGACGCTTTTCAAGAAGCCATAGCTTACTCTGGATGAACCCGACGATTCTCAAGAAGCCAGAGCTTACTTTTTTGGGTACATATTTTCTTGAACCTCACTACTTCAATTTCATAATATGCATATCATTACTAAAAAAAAACTTTTGAGTTATAAACCGATAGTCGAAAAGGTGAATGATAGAGGTTAACGAGGAAGATAATATTTTTTTGCTGAAGCGCAATAAAACAAATAATTCAGTTGTCGCTGTAATCTTAGCCTTATGAGTGGGCCATATACACGAACGCATACCTCGATAGGAAGGTATAGGTAATTAAAATTGTTCCGCAGGCTGTGTGTCAACATATTTTCTCGAATTCCACCATATTGCGCGCTTAATTCAACCAGAAGTCATATGAGCCACAAAATGAACGGGGACGAAAAAACGCTAATACTTCATAGACGGCGCCCAATACTAAAACCGTGAAAACGCCGCCATGTGTGCTCCCGTTCGTATTTCGAAGGATATACGTTCGGCACGATCTCATTGTTATAGATGTGATCAGAAGCCAATAAAAGAATGCGTCCGTGTGGCCACTACGTCATAAGCCTTTGTTGAAATATTTGTGACGTACGTCGCAAATCACTTAAGGTTGTGAGGATAAGATACGCATTTAAGTGTAAACCCCCCCCCCCCCCCCCCCCCGGCCCGTTCTGAACACTTTGTATTCGCTGACAGCTTCAACCGAAGGCACTGAAGCATCGAAATCCTACCTTTTTTTTTATTATACGAAGCGATTGAAAACGGTGCCGGGACATTACCCTCAAAATTCGAAACTTGGGAATTCAGTATTTGTGAAGTTAAGAAACAATTTCCAAATACCGCATTTGAAGTTCTCACGCGATCCGCGCCAGCGCAGTGACGTCAAATTTTGCTGTCTCCTGCGAGTCGACTTTCTTTCGCACCTCTGCTCCACGCTACAAAGCAAAGCGTCGTTGCCACCGCGACCCGAAGCGAAGAGGTGAGAAGCGAACAGAAGGGCGCCGGCGGACCGAGAAAAACCGGTTTCTTCGTCCGGTTCCCTGACTCACCGATCATCCTCCGCTCGAGTGCCGCCAAGTTTTCCGAGGGAGGGTAGAAATCCAGGAGGCGACATCACACCGGACTTTGATTTTTGGTATTTCAAAAAGAAGGGCCGTACTGTCTTCGCAATTGCGTTAAAAAACATGTGTTATGATTTCCGTTCTTAAATGTTACAAAAACATCATCTACAAAGCTTCTAAATTTTATGATTTTTGACGTCACCAATCAAAAAAGGGAGGAGGTGAGGAGCTGTAGAGAAAAACACCCAAAATGAAAAGGCGCGCGCGCGTGCGGGGAGATATTTTTTCGCGGTGCGCTTTCTTTTTTCTTTTTTTGCCTGTTCATGACTACAATATGCATCGTTTTAGATAATAAAAAATACCCTGTCTGTGGGTATTTTTTAGGGATGCCGCGAACTTTTTTCGAATCGAAGTTTCGATGATCGAATCAAGCGGTTCGAAAGGTTCGAAAGATTTCGATTTTTCGAATTTTCTATATCGTAAAATTCGACGGAGGTCGAATTTTCGAACTTGTTAAGCTAAGAAGTTCGACGCTTTTCGAACCGTCGAACTTATTACGCTAAAACATTCGATTTTTTTCGAACTTTCCAACTTATTGCGCTGCAAGGTTCGATGCTTGTCGAACTTTCGAACTTGACTGACCAAAAAATTCGATGAATTTCGAACTTTCGAACTTATTTATCAAGAGAATTCGAAAAGTTTCGAACTTTCGAATTCTGAAAAGTCAGAAGTTCGACGACCTTCGAACTTTTAGGGTAGAAGTTCGACGTTCGTCGAACTTCGAAAGACCGGCGGACGGTTTCATTTGATTTCAGGTAGTGGTGTACATTCGTAATTTTTTTTTCTCGAACTTTTACACGCGGTGCTGCGTTTCTTACGAAAGACAATGTCGTTTATTTCAATGTTCTGGCATGCTTAGGTTTAAAGAAATAAATCCCCGAAGGGGCGAGGAAGGACGACGGGTTTTTGACGATTATCGTTTGTGCCAGATTTGAAGCACGCTGCAGCCGGAGCTATTTATGGTAGATATGTTATACTTTTTTAAGAATGATCTATGTATAGCCTAGGTAAGTGCCGTCTTAAGATGTGATTATTGTTATTCAACGTGAGTTTCGAAGAAATGTCCAAACATGTATCTGCATGCAATTATGACCTAAACTTGATATTTATTTTCGTCTAAGTTGTTTGAGGTACCGCATTTAAATTAACACCACAGACAGTACATATCATTGCCATCTGCAGAATACAAAATAATATATTCATTGTTTTTTCACGTTAAGGAATAAATTAACTCATGGGAGAAGATTTCTAATAGTGTTCAAGTTCAGCACGTCATTAAAAGAAAACTTTTTTTTTTCGCTTCACGTTCCTGGGACGTGTTTCTTTTAGCCTGTACACATTTTGGTAAAATAAACTTCTTTCGAAGTTCTGAACCTCTGAATATGCAAGAATAGAACACTTCCGACGAATTCTTGATAGTTTTTTTTTTTCCTGCTTTTTATTCCCGCATTTATTCTTTTCTTTTTTTTTTTTTTTTTTTATACTATCGGCACAGGTGTTTAGGTCGAAAAGACAGCTTTGAACTTCCGAACCACTAAGCATGTGACGAGCAGTGCCTTCTGACAACGAGTTTCTAACAATGACCATCTACGCAACCTTTTATGCAGTGAAGAGCGACAGTAGCTATACATATGCATAAATAATTTCAGATTAAAATAAGCTCGACCACGCCCTCTTTCCCCGTATTGTTTTCTTTAACAGTCCGAAATACCTGCAAGGGGAAGGAGGCTGAAGCACCCCCCTCCCCTCCCCCTTCGCTACCCTCTTTCCCCCGTTTTTCCTCTTTCGACGCCACTTGTATGGTAGAACGCTCCTCGACCTCGAGTTGTGTCGGCTTTTGTGCTTTTTGCGAGGCGATTCCTCCGTCCCAGAAAATAAACCTCCAGGACAATTATAAACTTCACCGGATCGGATTACTACCAGCGTGCAAGGGGTGGCGAGCTAGTTTGCCACGTCGCATCAAGGTTTTTCTGAGCCCCAACCTCCTGCTCGCCCCTGGCCGTTTCGAACTGGCTGAGTCTCGTAAAACAGTGTGTTCGTGCAATCACTACTGCGTGATGCAGGTTGAAGACCCCCCCCCCCCCCCCCCCCCCCCCCCCCCAGGGCTGGCGGTCACAATTCTGCACTGGCAAATATTCTAGCACGTCCGGGACACTCGTCGCCTCATTTAATTGCCTGACCAACTTCGCAGAATCTAGATATCACACCCTAACTTTTCTAAACTTGATTTTGTGAAAACCAGTGAGTCGTGAAAACGTTATTTGAAACTGAAACTGTGGAAAAACTTGAAAATCGGACTTCGACCTTTGAAAACTTGGATTGAAGAAAAATTCAAAATCTTCGAAGTTTTTTTTTTTTTTTTTTTTGAATTTAACGTTAAAAAAGAATCGAAACCTTCGAACTTTTCGAACATTATGCAAAAAGAAATTCGAAATCTTCGAATTGTTCGAACCTCATGTCTATAAAAATTCGAAGCGTTCGAAGTTTTCGAATTTTTTTTACAAAGAATTTCGAAATCTTCGAATTTATCGAACCTGAAGTAAAAAAATATTCGAAATATTCGAATTCGAAATTTTAGAAACCGTGAGAGCTTCGAAATTTTCGAATTCGAAACACCGCTGTGGTCAAAAGTTGCGAATTTTTCGAAATCGAACCTCGGTCGGTACGAAAATATCGAAATTTTTCGAAATCGAACCTCAGTTCGCTTCGCAAATATCGAAACCCTTCGAAATCGAACCTAAGGTGGTTCGCGACATCCCTAGTATTTTTTATTATAAAACGAGCACTGACATCCCTAAAAAATGTCAGTGTTCGTTATTATAAACGAACACTAACATACCTAATTTTTTTTTTTTTTTTTTTTTGCCAGGCGGTTTATTATGGTGTCAGGAGACTACCCAGTCAATATTTTGCTACGGCGTCACATATATCTTTAGTAAAGTAAAAGAAGACGCAACTGCTCGAAACCGAAACCGAAACTGGACTGCGGAGGAAGACATATAGAGTAGGAGGAAGTTGGCTGAAGTAACATTGCAGTACAGCTTTTTTTTTTCTCTCTCTCTCCAATCAACGTTTTTGCAGCTTTTTAGAAGTCACAGGAGTTGGGTATCATTTTTATAGTCTAATTTGAATACTATGTGTGTTTTTTCGATGACCAAAGACTTGGATTACATTTGGTGGTTATGTCGAAACCATAGAAAACAGCTCGCGACTATGGAGAAGAGAGTGAGCGTGACTCAAACCAGCCAGTTCTCGATCGGTGGTTTTCAGGGGGAAAGGAAAACGAATTTCGAGCCGCGAATTGTTTTCTCGGTAGTTGGGCTCTTATATATTATGTGCAAATAAAACCCTTGGCAAACATAAATACCCAGTCAGTGGCCCTTTAAGAAAACAGGACGTGCCAAATCTCAGGCGTCTTCATTTTGATTCGCAGCCAATCGCATTGCTGCATCAGATGATAACAACGTCAGAAGACAAATCACGCTTAACAAGCATCATAACCCTGTTTTCCTGCGTCTTTCGGTGTCTCTGCGGGGAGAAAGTCGTCTGCTTCTTGCGCGGGAGTT